AGTGTGGTGCTGACAGTGCCGGCCCATGGGGAGCTCCCCGGGGCTGCTCCACCCGCTGTGTGTTAAACCCCTCCCGCATCCCCAACGGCTCCCGGTGCCCATCCCGGGCCCGGGCCCGCACAATGGCGGAGCCGCTCGCCCCGCAAGATGGCGGCCGCGCTGAGGGACCGACCCCGCCGCCCGCGGCCGGCTCAGCGCGCATGCGCGACCGGCACCCGCGCCTCGAGCCGGCGGGCAGCGCGGGAGGGTCCATGCGGCCGCGCCGCTGCCGGGGGGTTTCGGGGGGGGGACCCGCCGGTTACCGGCAGCCCAGCAGCGTCCCGCGGGGAAGCGGCACGGTCCTGCCGCCCTCTCGACCCTCCGCTCGGCGGCCGCTTGTCCGCGGGGGTTCGCGGAAGGCGCAGCGGGAGCGGCAGCGGCGGGAGCGACTTCCCGCTCCTCCCCCGCTCTCCCGCAGTGGTTTGCGCCGCGGCGCGTTCGGCGCTCGCCATTGGCGGTGGGGGCAGAAGGGGCGGGGCGAGGAGGGTATAAATAGAGGCGGTGCGGCGGGCGGCGCGCTCAGTCTGCTGCGGCCGAGTGAGCTGCTCCGGGGTCCCGCGCTATCGCCGCCGCCGCCCCCATCCCGCCCCGCTCCGCTCCGCCCCGCCAGCGCCATGAACGGGCAACTGAACGGCTTCCACGAGGTGCTCATCGAGGAGGGCACGTTCCTCTTCACCTCCGAGTCCGTGGGCGAGGGGCACCCAGGTGCGGGCCGCGGCCCAGGCGCGCAGGCGCAGGCCGCGGGGAGAACGGGGGGGGGGGGGGGGGAGGTGTGGGAATGGCCGCGCGCGCGCTCGGAGGTTGGGGGGGGGGGGAAGGGGGGGGTCTCCCCACGGCGCGTTCATGGGGGGGGGGGGGGTGCGCGGTGACGCCACCGGGCGCGCGCGCACTGGCAGGGCGGCGCGCGCCGCATTGCGGCCCCCGCCGCGCACGTGCTTCCCGCGTGGGGTGTTGCGGGGGGGGGGCGACGCACACGCGACATGTCGTGATATGACGTGATGCGTGTTGTTGGGGTTTGGGGAACGGGGGGGGGGGGGGTGTTACCGGCTGACGCAGCGGTGGAGGGGGGGGGTGGGTTGGGGCTGCCGTGACTCAGCCGTGACTGAGCAGATCCCGGTTGTGCCCCGCGGGGTCACCGGTTCCCCCCCCCGGGGGGTGATGAGGTGAGGAGCCCCCGCTTGTACTCACCCGCCGCTGGAGGCTCGGGACCCCCATGGGGGCTGCTTCAGCCCCCCCCCCCCGCCCCCCGAGCTCCCCGTGGGTCACAGCTTGGATCCCCAGCACCTCCGGGATCGCTTCCCCAGTGTCCCACGGCCGCGGGGGGCTCTGTTGGAGCCGCGTTGCCCCACGGCACGGTCCGAGCTCTGCACCCGTGCTGTGGATGCCCTCGGGGCTCCCCACGCCCCGGGTCACGCGCTGCTGCCGCAGGGATCAGGCGTTGCTCTCTCGGGTGCGGTGTGAGGCTACCCCTGCGCTCTTTCACCCTAAGCAGAGCCCTGCGGAGCCGATCCCCTCTCGCCCCAGCCTAGGGCTGCCTCATCCTCTCCCAGATCTGTCCCCAAAGGTCGTGGCCAAGGACGCCGCGGTCCCTGGGAATTGCTTATTCACGGCCCAGCCCCGCGTGGCCTTTGGGAAGCTCCAGGGAGCAGGAAGGGGGCTCGCCCGCTCCCATAGCCCATCCCAGGCACTGGGCATCCCATGGGAGGTGGCGGGTGCGCAGCAGCACCCCCCAGGAGCCGGAAGCTGGCACGCTCCAGCTGGGAAAGCCGGGAGCCCCTGGCAGTGCCAGGCCCCTCCAGCACCGCTGTCTGTGGCTGAGGCCCAGCTCTGACCCGGCTGTAACTGGAGCTTAACTGGTAAATGCCTGGAATTCCAGGCTAAGAAGCCGGCTCGGGGACAAGGCGAGGGCTTTGTGCACTGCCGGAGCCCTTGGGATTAGCGGGAGGCTCGTGCTCCGCTTCCCAGCGGAAGGAAGGGCCGTGCCTGTCACAGCCTCACCCTCTGTCCCCCAGATAAAATCTGCGACCAGATCAGTGACGCTGTCCTGGACGCCCACCTCAAGCAGGACCCCGATGCCAAGGTGGCCTGTGGTGAGTGTGGCAACCCCCTGGGGACATGGGGTGGGTGACACCGGCACTGACATCACCCTCCTGCCCTCCAGAAACGGTGGCAAAGACGGGGATGATCCTGCTGGCCGGGGAAATCACGTCCCGCGCGGCGGTGGACTACCAGAAGGTGGTTCGGGACACCATCAAGCACGTCGGTTACGATGACTCCTCCAAAGGTAGGTGCCAGGGAGGGGATGGGTGGCACAGCTCGGTGCTGGGGGGGGGTGTCTCGGCACACTGGGCTCACCGTGGCCTCGGCTCTGCCCCAGGCTTTGACTACAAGACGTGCAACGTGCTGGTGGCGCTGGAGCAGCAGTCGCCCGACATCGCTCAGGGCGTGCATCTGGACCGCAGCGAGGAGGACATCGGTGCTGGGGACCAGGTCAGGCCTCGTGCCACTGGAGCCGCCGCGGCGCGGCCGGAGGAGCCGTAGGCTCACCCCCGTTTCCCTCCCCTCGCACAGGGGCTGATGTTCGGCTACGCCACGGATGAGACGGAGGAGTGCATGCCGCTCACCATCGTCCTGGCGCACAAGCTCAACGCCAAGCTGGCCGAGCTGCGCCGCAACGGCACCCTGCCCTGGCTGCGCCCCGACTCCAAGACGCAGGTGAGGCTCTGGCCCCCATAACCTGCTGCCCCCTGTCCCCACGCCTCCCTGACAGCCCCGTGTCCCCCGTGTCGGCAGGTGACGGTGCAGTACATGCAGGACCGCGGCGCTGTCATCCCCATCCGCGTGCACACCATCGTCATCTCGGTGCAGCACGACGAGGAGGTGTCCCTGGACGAGATGCGGGATGCACTGAAGGAGAAGGTCATCAAGGCCGTGGTGCCGGCCAAGTACCTGGACGATGACACCATCTACCACCTCCAGCCCAGTGGCCGCTTCGTCATTGGCGGTCCCCAGGTAACACCGCACTCCTGCTGACACCGTGGTGACGGTGGCAGGGATGGCACCACAGTGGTGATGGTGGTGACGGCGCCATAGTGGTGGTGGTGGTGGTGGTGGTGACGGTACCATAGTGTTGATGTCACCACAGTGGTGGTGGTGGTGACGGCACCATAGTGGCGATGGCACTACGGTGGTGGTGGTGGTGGTGGTGATGTTACTACAGTGGTGGTGGTGGTGGTGGTGATGGTACCATAGTGGTGATGGCACCACAATGGCGGTGGTGGTGGCGACGGCACTATAGTGGTGATGGCACCACAATGGCGGTAGCGGTGACGGTGACGATGGCGGTGATGTCCCCACAGGGTGACGCCGGCCTCACGGGCCGCAAGATCATCGTGGACACGTACGGGGGGTGGGGGGCACACGGCGGCGGCGCCTTCTCGGGGAAGGACTACACCAAAGTGGACCGCTCGGCAGCCTACGCCGCGCGCTGGGTGGCCAAGTCCCTGGTGAAGGCCGGGCTGTGCCGCAGGGTGCTGGTGCAGGTGGGTGCTGGCGCCTCTCCCCCTCCCCGCACTGCTTTGGGACGGGGTCCTCAGGCTTAATCCATGCCCCCGTCCCCGTCCCCACCTTTAGGTGTCGTACGCCATCGGGGTGTCCCACCCCTTGTCCATCTCCATCTTCCACTACGGCACCTCCCAGAAGAGCGAGCGGGAGCTGCTGGAGATCGTCAAGAAGAACTTCGACCTTCGCCCCGGGGTGATCGTCAGGTAATGGGGCTGGGGGGGGGCACAGGGGGAATGGAGCAGGGCTTGGGGACACACACGGGGTGTTGGGGGGGGGGACTGATCGCTTGTGTCATTGCAGGGACCTGGACCTGAAGAAGCCCCTCTATCAGAGGACCGCAGCCTATGGCCACTTCGGTAGGGACAGTTTCCCTTGGGAAGTGCCCAAAAAACTCAAGTACTGAGGAAAATCCTGGCCCTTGTCAGGCTTTTCCCCCCACCCCGGCGGGCGTAGGCTACAGAGAAGCCCCTGGGCTCTGGGGGTAAGAGCTGGGCCCCCCCCCGGTCCCCAGCTCCCCCCCCCCCATGTCTCTCCCTCTTCCCTCTCGCCGTGGGTTCCATGGGGACCACACGTGGCCTCGCCCCCCCCCACAACCCCTCCGGCTGCTCTTGAAACCTGGTGGCACATCCGAGTTTAGAGATGGCAAAAAGCCCCCCCCGAGGGGGGGTTAACACCGTGTCCCCCCCCCCTCACGGTGCAGATGGAGCTGGGGGTGGGGGGGGCCCTGCTGGTGCTGGATTTGTCCTACCCCTGATTTTAACCCCTTATCCCTCAGAGGACACACATGGGGGGACACAACCACACACATGGTTTGGGGGGGGACACATGGTGTTACCCCCCCCCCCCCATGTGAGGAGGAAAACCCCTTTGCTGGTTGTTTTAAGTTGTATTTTTTAGCCAACAACCGAAGTGACTCCACAAACTGCACAACCCCCCCTGGGGGGGGAGGGGGGGGGGGCTCAGCCGAGCTTAGGGATGGATCCTGGGGGGGAGGGGGGGCTCAAAGCTTTTTTTGGGGGGGGGGTGTTGATACTTGAACGTGTTTTTCTAGCGGTGTATTTATTGTGTGCTGAGGGGGGGTGTGAGTACAGAGAAGCCCCCGGCTCACGCGGCAGCTCTTGATTCCCCCCTCCAGCATCCCCCCCCCCCCCCCCAACTCCTTCTCCATCACCCCCCCCATCACCCCACCCCCCCCCCCAGTTCCCACTCCAAAGCGGGGTGACAGCCCCGGGACAGGGCGCTTTGGCCGGTGTGGTACAGAGAAGCCGGCTTGTTTACTGCCCGTCCCAGGCCCCCCAAGTGCCTTGGCAAAGGGGGGGGGGGAGGGAAACGGGGGAGGGGGTGAAGGGGGGGGGGTTCTCCCCCCCCCCCCCCTTTTGGTTTTTATTTTATTTCCCTTCTTTTCCCGAGGTTTTTATTCCATTTTGTTCGGATTCCACCAAAATGCTCCCAAATGGCAAATAAAGACTGGGTTCGAAGCAGCTGCCCTCAGCCTGTGCTGGGGCAGGGGGGGGGAGCAGGCTCAGAGCTCGGGGTCCCCCCCCACTGTGTCCGTGTCCCCCCCATCATCACCCCCCTTTTCCTCCTCCTCCTCGCGCCAGTCGGCGAAGGCGAGCTCCTGCGCCAGGCGCTCCGGGGGGGGCCGCCCCACGGCCAGGTTCCGCAGGGAGATGCAGGTCATCAGCACGCTGTGGGGCAGGGGGGGGCAGTGAGGAGGGAACTAATGGGAAGTTGGGGGTCAGTAGCAAGGTTTGGGGTGTCTGTGGGGAGGGGGGGGTTCAATAATAGCTTACAGCAGGTTTGGGGGGGGGCAGTGATGGGGGATTGAGGGTCAGTAGCAAGGATGGGGGGAGCTGATGGGGTTGGGGGTCACTGCTGAGGTGACCGGGATGATGGGGGGGGCTGTAACAAGGGGTTGGGGTCCATGAGAGTTTGAGGGGGGTCACATCAATGAGGGGTTGAGGATCAGTGCTGAGTGTGGGGAGGGATGTCAGGGATGGGGGGGGTAGAAGGAGGCTTTGAAGGTCAGGGATGGGTTTGGGGGGCCTGTAAAATTGGGGGGGGCAGTGCCAAGGTTTGGGGTGTCTGATGGGGTCAATAACGGAGGGGGATTGGTGAGGAGGGATTTGGGGGGGGTCACAGTAATGGGGGGGGCATAGTGATGGGGGGGTGGCCCAAAAGGGTCACTGATGGGGTTGGGGGGGCCATAACAAGAGGGTCCCAGTGATGAGGGTTTGCAGGTCAGCAAAAAAGGCTTTGGGGGGGTCCATGAGGGGTTAGGGGTCAATAATGGGGGGGAGGGGGCAAAGATGAGGTTTGGGGGGGGCAGTGATGAGGGGTTGTGGTTCAGTGCCAGGGTTTGGGGTGTTTGTGATGGGGGGGGGGCAATAACAGGTTGGGGGGGTGGTGAGGAGGGATTTGGGGGGCACATAATGAAGGATGGGGGGTCACAGTATTGAGGGGCCCTAATGAGAGATTGGGGGGGGCAGTGATGGAGAGATGGGGTAGGCAAGTGGTTGGGGGTCTGTAATGAGAGTTTGGGGGGGCAGTGATGGGCTGGGGTCAAGGATGAGGGTTAGGGGGATCACAGTAACGTGTTTGGGGGGGGCTGACAAGGGGTTGGGGGTCTGTAATAGTTTGGGGGTGCAGTGACAAGGTTATGGGGGTCACATCAATGAGGATTTGAGGGTCAGGGCTGAGGCTGGGGAGGGATGTCAGTGATGGGGGGATGAGGGTTTTGAGAGTGACATAATGAGAGCACCCCAGTAACGGGGGTTGGGAGGGGTCCATGAGGGGTTGGGGTCAATAATGGCGGATGGGGGGGCAAAGACGAGGTTTGGGGGGTCTGCAATGAGAGTTCAGGGAGAGCAGTAACAAGGCTGGGTGGAGCAGTGAGGGGGTGTGGGGGTCAGTGAAGGGGTTGGGGTCAATGATAGGGTTGGGGTCAGTGATGGGTTTGGGGTCAGTGATAGGGTTGGGGTCACTGATGGGGTTTGGGGTCAATGATGGGGTTTGGGGGTCAGGGATGGGGTTCAGTGACAGGATTGGGGTCAGTGATGGGCTTGGGGGTCAGTGATAGGATTGGTGTCAGTGATGGGGTTCCAGGTCAGTGATGGGGTTGGGGTCAGTGATAGGGTTGTGGTCAATGATGGGGTTTGGAGTCAGTGATAGGCTTTGGGTCAGTGATGGGGTTTGGGGGTCAGTTATGGGGTTGGGCTCAGGGATGGGCTTGGGGGTCAGTGATGGGGTTTGGGGGCTTGGGGTCAGTGATAGGGTTTGGGGGTCTGTGAAGGGGTTGGGGTCATTGATGGGCTTGGGGGTCAGTGATGGGGTTGGGATCAGTGATGGGGTTGGCGTCAGTCATGGGGTTTGGGGTTCCCCCGGTACTTGGGGTCAGTGATGGGCTTGGGGTCAATGATAGGGTTGGGATCAGTGATGGGGGTTTGGGGGTCAGTGATGGGCTTGCGGGTCAGTGATGGGGCTGGGGTCAGTGATGGGGTTGGGGCCAATGATAGGGTTGGGGTCAGTGATAGGGTTGGGATCACTGATGGGGTTTGGGGTCAGTGATGGGGCTTGGGTGTCAGTGATAGTTTTGGGGTCAGTGATGGGCTTGGGGTCAATGATAGGGTTGGGGTCAGTGATAGGGTTGGGGTCAGTGATGGGGTGGGGTTCAGTGACGGGCTTGGGGGTCAGTGATAGGATTGGGGTCAGTGATGGGGTTGGGGTCAGTGACGGGGTTGTGGTCAATGATGGGGTTTGGGGTCTGACGGGGCTTGGGTATCAGTGATGGGGTTTGGGGTCAGTGATGGGGTTGTGCTCAGGGATGGGCTTGGGGGTCAGTGATGCGGTTTCGGGTTCCCCTGGTACTTGGGGTCAGTGATGGGCTTGGGGTCAATGATAGGTTTGGGATCAGTGATGGGGGTCTGGGGGTCAGTGATGGGGTTTGGGGGTCAGTGATAGGGTTGGGATCACTGATGGGGTTTGGGGTCACTGATGGGGCTTGGGGGTCAGTGATAGTTTTGGGGTCAGTGATGGGCTTGGGGTCAATGATAGGGTTGGGGTCAGTGATGGGGTTTGGGGTCAGTGATAGGGTTGGGGTCAGTAATGGGGTTTGGGGTTCAGTGATGGGGTTGGGGTCAGTGATATGGTTGGGATCACTGATGGGGTTTGGGGTCCCCCCAGGGTTTGGTGTCAGTGATGGGGTTGGGGGTCAGTGATGGGCTTGGGGTCAATGATAGGGTTTGGATCAGTGATGGGGCTTTGTGGTCAGTGAATGGGTTTGGGTCATTGATGGGGTTTGGGGTTCCCCCGGTACTTGGGGTCAGTGATGGCCTTGGAGTCCCCCCATGTTTTTAGGGGGTGCTACCAGCGATGGGGGTGTCCCTGTTCCCCTCTCACCTCCTACGGAACAAACGGAGCTTCCTACGCAGGAACCTCCGCAGCCGCTGCCCGAGCCCGGCCCCGCGCTCCCGTTCCCGTTCCCGTTCCCTCCGTTCCCGGCGCAGCAGCAGCGCCACCAGCGGGTCCTCGGCGGCACCGGGGGGCAGCGGCTCCCCCAGCAGCGGCCGCAGCTCCGGGGGCAGCGGCTCGGGGGCTGCAAGGCAGAAGGGGGGGGACACTGAGCTCGTGTCCCCCCCCCTTTGCACCCCAATCTCATCCCCGTATCCCGGTGCTCACCGGTGCCGTTACGTGCCCGGTCCCGCAGCTCCTGCAGCCGGCTCAGGTTGAGCTCCAGCGCCCGCGCCGTGGTGTTCACGTACAGGTAGAGGTAGCACGAGGGCTCCGCCGACACCGTGTGCACCTTGTGGTACTGCCCCGCCGGCAGCTGTGGGGCAACGGGGATCTGGCCCTATGGACACACTTCCCCCCCTCCCCGCTCTCACCTGCATCCCCTTGTGCTCACCTGCATCACTGTGTCCTCACCTGAGTCCCCACATGCTCACCTGCACCCCGCTGTGCTCACGTGCATGCCCCATGCTCACCTGCATCCCCCCGCTCTCATCTGCATCCCCCTGCATCCCCTTGCTCTCACCTGCACCTCCCTGTGCTCACCTGCATCCCTGTGTCCTCACCTGCACCCCCCATGCTCACCTGCATCCTCTTTTGTTCACCTGCATCCCCCCGCTCTCATCTGCATCCCCCTGCATCCCCTTGCTCTCACCTGCACCTCCCTGTGCTCACCTGCATCCCCTTGTGTTCACCTGCATCACTGTGTCCTCACCTGCACCCCCCATGCTCACCTGCATCCCCTTGCTCTCACCTGCACCTCCTTGTGCTCACCTGCATCACTGTGTCCTCACCAGCAACCCCCCGCACTCACCTGCATCCCCTTTTGCACACCTGCATGCCCTGCTGTCACCTGCATCCCCCTGCATCCCCTTGTGCTCACCTGCACCCCCTATGCTCACCTGTACCCCCCCGCTCCCACCTGCACCCCCTGCCTCTCACCTGCATCCCCTCTCCCTCCCGCAGCGAGTGGTTGCGGTGCTGCTCCACCAGCTCCACCAGCACCTCTCCCCGCAGCACCCGCAGGCTCGTGTTGCCCAGGTCCTCACTCACAAAGTTCTCCAAGTGCAGCCCTATGGGGACGGACACCAATGGGGTCCAGGCCCCCCCCCCCCCATCACTGGGGTTCAACCCCCCCCCCCCGGCGCTGCCCCATACCGGGGAAGTCGGCGATGAAGACGACGTCCGTGTGCGGGTCCAGGCTGCTCTCGAGCTCCTGCAGCCGCTGCCGCCACGGCGACAGCTCCAGCAGCAGCGGCAGCACCCAGGGCGTGCGGCGCCACGGGGACCAGGGCGCCCGCACCACGTCCACGCGCGGGTCCACGAGCCTGCAGCACCCGGGGGCCCTCAGCACCCCCCAACAGCACCTTTGGGGGTGCTGCTCCCCACATTCCCCCCCCCCACAAACCTCTGCTGGAAGCGGTCGTTGATGGAGACCCAGATGTCGAAGTAGATGCGGGGCTCGGAGATGTTGTAGCGCGGCAGGAGCTGGCTCAGGCACGTGGCGTATTGCTTCAGCATGTCCGCGTGGTCCTTCCAGCGCCGGCTCTGCGTGAACACCTACCCCGGGCCGGACGGGGGGGGTGAGGGTGCAGACCCCCCCCCCCCGCCTTGAACCCTCCGGTCCCCCCCACTTTGGGCTCTGCTCACCCCCGGTTTGAGGTACCCCACGTCCCCGGTCAGCCCGTCCTCGTACGTGATCTTGACGTGCTGGTGGAAGCGGGAGTGAACCATCATGTCCCAGGAGTAGCCGTAGAGGCCGTTGGTCCAGTTGTTGTAGCCCTGGGAGGGGGGGGACAAGGAAGGGATGGGAGATCCCTGTGCTCCCCCCGCCATAAAGGACCCCCATGCCCTCCAAAGTGCTCCCCCCACATCCAAACCCCATCTTTGTAGCCAAGGAAAACACCCCCATCTTAAAAGGTGAAGGGAAGGAAAAACACCCTTGGTGAAGCCAAGGAAAACACCCCCAGGGGGTAAGCAATGCCCCCCCAAATGCCTCCCCCGACCCCAACCATCCCCCAAGCCCCCTCAGGATACCCCCATGTCCCCCAAGCTGCCCCTCACATCCAAAACAAAGCCTCCCGGTGTCACCTCTGATGTCCCCAAATGCCCCCGTGTCCCCAAATAACCCCCGCCCCCCCGGCCCCGTGCCCCCACCTGGGTGATGAAGTGCGAGTAGGGCAGGAAGAGCTGCTCCAGCACGTAGAGCACGGTGAAGGCGGCAGCGAGGTGCTGGCGCGGCCGGAGCCCCCCCCGCGCCCCATAGTGGCAGTCGGGGCTGTGGCGGGGGGGGCGGGTGCTGGGCAGCCCCCCCTGGAGCCACCGCGGGCACCGCGCCAGCAGGCGCCGTGGCCAGCCCGGGTGGCAGAAGAGCCCGCTGCTGGCCAGCATGGTGTATGGGAACATGCCTGGTTGTGGGGGGGGGGCACGGCTTAGGGGCACCCTGCACTGGGCACCGTGGTTTAGGGGGTCCCCTGGCCATGATGGGGGTGTGGGGGGGGGATTTGGGGGTGTTCGGGTGCAGGCGCTGCTCTCACCGATGCTGAAGAGCTGCGAGTTCATGCAGTGGAAGTAGGTGACGAAGATGAGGGCGATGGGGCGGGTGGCGTCGAGCAGCAGCAGGAACCCGGCCGAGAGGTCGAGCAGGAGCCCCCCCCCGTGCACCACCAGCAGGCTGGTGCTCTGCTCCGACAGCACCAGCCTGGCCGCAGCACCAGCATCAGCCCATCACCCTCCTCATCCTCACCCCTTCATCCCCCATCACCCTCCTCATCCTCACCCCTTCATCCCCCATCACCCTCCTCATCCTCACCCCTTCATCCCCCATCACCCTCCTCATCCTCACCCCTTCATCCCCCCATCACCAACCTCATCCTCACCCCTTCATCCCCCATCACCCTCCTCATCCTCACCCCTTCACCCCCCATCACCCTCCTCATCCTCACCCCTTCATCCCCCATCACCCTCCTCATCCTCACCCCTTCATCCCCCATCACCCTCCTCATCCTCACCCCTTCATCCCCCCATCACCAACCTCATACTCACCACTTCATCCACCATCACCCTCCTCATCCTCACCCCTTCACCCCCCATCACCCTCCTCATCCTCACCCCTCCATCCCCCCATCACCCTTCTCATCCTCACCCCTTCATCCCCCCATCACCCTCCTCATCCTCACCCCTTCATCCCCCCATCACCCTCCTCATCCTCACCCCTTCACCCCCCATCACCCTCCTCATCCTCACCCCTTCATCCCCCATCACCGTCCTCATCCTCACCCCTTCATCCCCCATCACCCTCCTCATCCTCACACCTTCATCCCCCATCACCAACCTCATCCTCATCCCTTCATCCACCCATCACCCCCCATCACCCTCCTCATCCTCCTCATCCTCACCCCTTCACCCCCCATCACCCTCCTCATCCTCACCCCATCACCCCCCATCACCCTCCTCATCCTCACCCCATCATCCCCCATCACCCTCCTCATCCTCACCCCATCATCCCCCATCACCCTCCTCATCCTCACCCCTTCCCCCCCCATCACCCTCCTCATCCTCACCCCATCATCCCCCATCACCCTCCTCATCCTCACCCCTTCATCCCCCCATCACCCTCCTCATCCTCACCCCTTCACCCCCCATCACCCTCCTCATCCTCACCCCTTCATCCCCCCATCACCCTCCTCATCCTCACCCCTTCATCCCCCCATCACCCTCCTCATCCTCACCCCTTCACCCCCCATCACCCTCCTCATCCTCACCCCTTCATCCCCCATCACCGTCCTCATCCTCACCGCTTCAGCCCCCATCACCCTCCTCATCCTCACACCTTCATCCCCCATCACCAACCTCATCCTCATCCCTTCATCCACCCATCACCCCCCATCACCCTCCTCATCCTCCTCATCCTCACCCCATCACCCCCCATCACCCTCCTCATCCTCACCCCATCATCCCCCATCACCCTCCTCATCCTCACCCCATCATCCCCCATCACCCTCCTCATCCTCACCCCTTCACCCCCATCACCCCCCTCATCCTCACCCCATCATCCCCCATCACCCTCCTCATCCTCACCCCTTCATCCCCCATCACCCTGCTCATCCTCACCCCATCATCCCCCATCACCCTCCTCATCCTCACCCCTTCACCCCCCATCACCCTCCTCATCCTCACCCCTCCATCCCCCATCACCCTGCTCATCCTCACCCCATCATCCCCCATCACCCTCCTCATCCTCACCCCTTCATCCCCCATCACCAACCTCATCCTCACCCCTTCATCCCCCATCACCAACCTCATCCTCACCCCTTCATCCCCCATCACCAACCTCATCCTCACCCCTTCATCCCCCCCATCACCCTCCTCATCCTCACCCCTTCATCCGCCATCACCAACCTCATCCTCATCCCTTCATCCCCCATCACCCTCCTCATCCTCCTCATCCTCACCCCTTCACCCCCCATTACCCTCCTCATCCTCATCCCTTCATCCCCCATCACCTTCCTCATCCTCACCCCTTCATCCCCCATCACCCTCCTCATCCTCACCCCTTCATCCCCCATCACCAACCTCATCCGCATCCCTTCATCCCCCCATCACCCCCCATCACCCTCCTCATCCTCACCGCTTCATCCCCCATCACCCTCCTCATCCTCACCCCATCATCCCCCATCACCCTCCTCATCCTCACCCCCTCATCCCCCCATCACCTTTCTCACCTTCACCCACCCCATCACCCTCCTCATCCTCACCCCATCACCCCCATCACCAACCTCATCCTCACCTTCCTCATCCCCCATCACCTTCCCCACCTTCCTCACCCCCCATCACCTTCCTCACCCCCCCATCACCCTCCTCCTCCTCACCTGAAGGGCGCGAAGAGCCAGTGGCGCGCCAGGGAGCCCATGGAGTACCCGCTCACCCAGTCCGTGTCCAGCTTCTTCAGCCCCGCAATGAAGTACACCAGGAAGATCTGGGGCACCGGGACAGTGTGGGGACAGGGACTGGGGGGCAGGATGGGGACCCCAGGCGCACCCCAGCCCTCACCTGGGCCCGCAGCAGGGTGTAGTTCCACAGCGGGACGTGCGCGTTCCTCTTGTGGGGCCGAAAGAGCCCATCCACAGACCTATGGGGACACGGGGGCAGGGACACCCCCCAAGCGAGGGGGTGACCAGGGCACCGTCACCACGCTGCCACCGGCACCCCAATGGTGACGCTTCTGTCACCCAATGGGGACGCTGGACCCCGTGCCACAACCAGAGCATCCCGGTCACACTGGGGCTCCCTGTGGCACCCATGGGTGCCCCCCGGCGCCCTGGCACGCACCCGTAGCGGTCGGCGCCCATGAAGGTGAGCTGGAAGGCCAGCAGCCCGTACAGGTAGGAGTGGTTGTTCCAGGAGGTCTTGTCCAGCAGCAGCACGTACCAGTACGGGCACAGGAAGGCCACGCAGCTCAGGCGGTACCAGCAGCCCAGCATCATGCCCAGCGCCCCTGCACCAGGGCACGGTGACACCCGGGGCGGCCCCTTTGGGTCCCTGTCCCAGTGTCACCGCCAGCACCCATCCCAGCACCCATCACCCTCTGCCATGGCAGCTCCCATCCCGGTGCCTGACCCCAACATGTCCTCACCGTGTCCTCATCTCACCCCCGTTTCCCTGCACCCACCATGCCCCATTCACCCCCTAGTGCCCCTTTGGGTCCCTGTCCCAGTGTCACCCCCAGCACCCCTCCCAGCACCCATCACCCTCTGCCATAGCAGCTCCCACTCCAGTCCCTCATGTCCTCACCGTGTCCTCATCTCACCCCCGTTTCCCTGCACCCACCATGTCCCATTCCCTCCTAGAGCCCCTTCAGGTCCCTGTCCCCATCTCACCCCTGTCCCTGTCCCAGTGTCACCCCCAGCACCCATCCCAGCACCCATCACCCTCTGCCACAGCACCTCCCATTACAGTGCCTGACCCCAACATGTCCTCACCGTGTCCTCATCTCACCCCCGTTTCCCTGCACCCACCATGCCCCCATTCCCCCCTATTGCCCCTTCAGGTCCCTGTCCCCATCTCCCCCCTGTCCCTGTCCCATTGTCACCCCCAGCACCCCTCACCCTCTGCCATGGCTGCTCCCACTCCAGTCCCTCATGTCCTCACCGTGTCCTCATCTCACCCCCGTTTCCCTGCACCCACCATGTCCCATTCCCTCCTAGAGCCCCTTCAGGTCCCTGTCCCCATCTCCCCCCTGTCCCTGTCCCATTGTCCCCTCCAGCGCCCATCACCCTCCGCCGCGGCAGCTCCCCCCCCGCCGGTACCGAGCAGCATGACGCCGTACAGCAGGTACATGCCGTCGAGGGGCAGCGGCTGCAGCGCGGGCAGCAGCGGGAAGCGGCAGACCGGCAGCCCGTCCAGGAAGCGCCGGTCCAGCAGCGCCATGCCCCGCTCCTGGGGCACGTCCAGCGCCATGAGGAGCCCTGCGGAGGGGGGGGGAGCTTCACCCGCTGCCAACGGGGCCGCGCCGGTTCCCGTTCATCCCCCCCCCCCGGTGCCCGGTGCTCACCGAAGGCGGCGCGGAAGGCGCCGAGCGCGGCGGGGTCCGTGGGGCGGTGCAGCAGCCGCACGAAGCGGTGCCAGCGGCTCAGCTCCCGCAGCTCGAAGCCGAGCAGCCGCCGGCTCACGCTGGGCTCCGGCTCCGCTCCCGCTCCCGGCTCCGCAGCGCCGGTAGCAGCGGGGCCCGTGGGCTGCTCCGGCCGCCGCCGCCTCGCCGGGCCCTCGGGGGCTCGGGGCAGCTCCCGCTCCCGCTCCCGTCCCCTCCCCTCGCCCTCCGCCGCCGCCATCGCCGTGACTCCGCCCCTCCGCGCGACGTCACCGGACGTCACGGGCGCGGGAACCAATCGCGGCCGCCCAACAGGGACACGCCCTGACACACCCACCCCCCGGGCCCCGCCCCCCCCCCCTCCCCGCCGGGGACGCAGCTCCCGGAAGCCCCGAGTGGGGCGGGGTTAATAACGGGGGACCCCAGGGTGGCCATGGGCGTCCCAAGGGTGACAATGGTGTCCCCAAGGGGGTCCCCATGGTGGCGATGGTGTCCCCATGGTGTCCGGGTGTCCCCATGGTGGCAATGGTGACCCTCTGGTGGCAATGGTGTCCCCATGGTTGCAATGGTGTCCCAAGGGTGGCAATGGTGTCCCCATGGTGGCAATGGTGTCCCCATGGTTGCAATGGTGTCCCAAGGGTGGCAATGGTGTCCCCAAGGGTGTCCCCATGGTGGCAATGGTGTCCCCATGGTTGCAATGGTGTCCCCATGGTGGCAATGGTGTCCTCATGATGGCAATGGTGTCCTCATGGTGGCAATGGTGTCCCCATGGTTGCAATGGTGTCCCCATGGTGGCAATGGTGTCCTCATGCTGGCAATGGTGTCCCCATGGTTGCAATGGTGTCCCCATGGTGGCAATGGTGTCCCCAAGGGTGTCCCCATGGTGGCAATGGTGTCCCCATGGTTGCAATGGTGTTCCGAGGGTGGCCATTGGTGTCCCCATGGTGGCAATGGTGTCCCCATGGTGGCAATGATGTCCCCATGGTGGCAATGGTGTCCCCATGATGGCAATGGTGACCCCCTGGTGCCACCATCCCCGCAGTCGCAGCACCTCAGGACCATGGCACAGGGCTCACCACCGGTTTCGGTGGCACATCACGAAGCTGCTCCTCGGGCTCAGCCTCACGGGTGCCATCATCACCATTGTCACCATTGTCACCATTGTCCTCATTGTCACCATCATCACCATTGTCACTATTGTCACCATCATCACCATTGTCACCATTGTCACCACTGTCACCATTGTCACCATTGTCACCATCGTCACCATTGTCACCATTGTCACCACTCTCACCATTGTCACCATTGTCACCACTGTCACCATCGTCACCATTGTCACCATCGTCACCATCGTCACCACTGTCACCATTGTCACCACTCTCACCATTGTCACCATTGTCCTCATTGTCACCATCATCACCATTGTCACTATTGTCACCATCATCACCATTGTCACCATTGTCACCATTGTCACCATTGTCACCATTGTCACCACTGTCACCATTGTCACCATTGTCACCATCGTCACCATTGTCACCACTGTCACCATTGTCACCACTCTCACCATTGTCACCATTGTCACCATTGTCACCACTCTCACCATTGTCACCATTGTCACCACTCTCACCATTGTCACCATCGTCACCATTGTCACCATCGTCACCATTGTCACCACTGTCACCATTGTCACCACTGTCACCATTGTCACCACTTTCACCATCGTCACCATTGTCACCACTGTCACCATCGTCACCACTGTCACCATTGTCACCATTGTCACCACTCTCACCATTGTCACCATTGTCACCACTGTCACCATCGTCACCATCGTCACCATCGTCACCACTGTCACCATTGTCACCACTGTCACCATTGTCACCATTGTCACCACTGTCACCATTGTCACCATTGTCACCATCGTCACCACTCTCACCATTGTCACCATTGTCACCATTGTCACCATCGTCACCATCCTCGTGGCCACCAGCACCATCCCCACCTGCAGACACCCCCGGGGCACCAATGACCAGCACCTGTGCATGTGGGGACGTGGATGGGGACACGGATGGGGACACGGGAGGGACACGGGAGGATGCATGTGGGGACATGGGCATGATGGGGAGGACATGGATGGGGACATGGGGGGACAATGAAAGGGACATGTGGAGGACATGGATGGGGACATGGGGGACAATGAAGGGGACACGGGGAGGACACGGATGGGATCGTATCAGGACACACGGGGGGGGCACGGGGCAGGGGGGCGGTGCGGAGGGGCGGGCCCATCCCGGTGCGTGGCACCGGGGACAAAGGGCGCAGTGCGGCGGTGTCGCTGGTACCGGTGTCACCGGGGGGGGGTCACGGACACGGGGTCCCAGGGAGGGGACAAGGGGCGGGGAGGGGGGGGGGGGGTCCTCGTCGGGGGCTGGGGACACGGGGGGGGCCGCATAGGGGTCACGCTCCGTGTCCGGGGGGGGGCGGTGGTCCCGGACCCTCCCGCACCGCACCGGGGGCTGGACGGGACGGGACGGGACCGGCACCGAGCGGGCACCGGCACCGGCGCCGCTTCCCGGGGGGGGGACGGGGACGGGGACGGGACCAGGACCCATCGGGGACCCCCGGTGTCCCCCCCGCGCCGTGCCCCATGGTTCACGTGTCCCCGTATTCCCAGTGCCCCCGGGATGTCCCCATGGTCCCTGCTGCATAGCCCCGTGCGCCCCTTCCCCATGGTCCCCATAGTCCCCGTGTCCCCATGATCCATCCCTATGTGCCTGTGGTCCCCATTGTCCCTGTGTCCCCATGATCCCTATGTGCCTGTGGTCCCCATAGTCCCTGTGTCCCCACGATCCCTATGTGCCTGTGGTCCCCATAGTCCCCGTGTCCCCATGATCCATCCCCATGTGCCTGTGGTCCCCATTGTCCCCGTGTCCCCATGATCCATCCCCATGTGCCTGTGGTCTCCATTGTCCCCACGTCCCCATGATCCATCCCTATGTGCCCGTGGTCCCCATTGTCCCCGTGTCCCCATGATCCATCCCTATGTGCCTGTGGTCCCCATTGTCCCCGTGTCCCCATGATCCATCCCTATGTGCCTGTGGTCCCCATAGTCCCCATGTCCCCATGATCCATCCCCATGTGCCTGTGGTCCCCATAGTCCCCGTGTCCCCATGATCCCTATGTGCCTGTGGTCCCCATAGTCCCCGTGTCCCCATGATCCATCCCTATGTGCCTGTGGTCCCCATAGTCCCCGTGTCCCCATGATCCATCCCTATGTGCCTGTGGTCCCCATTGTCCCTGTGTCCCCATGATCCATCCCTATGTGCCTGTGGTCCCCATAGTCCCTGTGTCCCCATGATCCATCCCCATGTGCCTGTGGTCCCCATTGTCCCCGTGTCCCCATGATCCATCCCTATGTGCCTGTGGTCCCCATAGTCCCCGTGTCCCCATGATCCATCCCTATGTGCCTGTGGTCCCCATAGTCCCCGTGTCCCCATGATCCATCCCTATGTGCCTGTGGTCCCCATTGTCCCTGTGTCCCCATGATCCCTATGTGCCTGTGGTCCCCATTGTCCCCGTGTCCCCATGATCCATCCCTATGTGCCTGTGGTCCCCATTGTCCCCACGTCCCCATGATCCATCCCTATGTGCCTGTGGTCCCCATTGTCCCCACGTCCCCATGATCCATCCCTATGTGCCTGTGGTCCCCATTGTCCCCACGTCCCCATGATCCATCCCTATGTGCCTGTGGTCCCCATAGTCCCCGTCCCCATGATCCCTATGTGCCTGTGGTCCCCATAGTCCCCGTGTCCCCATGTTCCTATGCTCCCAACATCCTCTCATGCTGTCCCCATGTGCCCCTACCCCATGATCCTCACGTCCCCATGTCCCTGTGATGTCCCCATAGCCCCTATGATGTCCCCATAGCCCCTGTGTCCCCCTGATCCCTTTGTGTCCATGGTCCCCATGTCCCTGTGTTATCCCCATGGCCCTGTATCCCCAAGTTCTCTTTGTCCCCACGTGTCCCCTCCTCATGGTACCCGCTTCCCCACCGTGCCCTTCTCTGGGGTCCCGGTGTCCCTGTGATGTCCCCATGTCTGCAGAGTCCCTGTTCCCCAGTGTCCCCAATGTCCTGATGACCCCATAGGCCCTGTTCTCCCCTGTGCCCCTTTCCTGCAGTCCACATGGTCCCAATGTCCCCATGGTCCCATGTCCCCTGTGTTCTCATAGTCCCCATAGTCCCAGATCCCCCACAGATCCAAGGTCCCCATGGTCCCCACGTCCCAAATGTCCCCATGTTCCACTTGCCCGTGGTCCCTGGGTCTCCAAAGTCCTGATGACCCCCATGTCCCTGGATCCCTCATGTCCCCATAGTCCCCAATGTCCCCATAGTCCCCAATGTCTCCATAGTCCCCAGTGTTCCTCCTATCCCTAATGCCTCCACCGTCCCCAATGGCTCCCCTATACTCAATGTCCCCACAGTCCCCAATGTCCCCCTATACTCAATGTCCCAAATGTCCCCAATGTCCCCCTATACTCAATGTCCCCATAGTCCCCAATGTCCCCCTATACTCAATGTCCCCAGTCCCCAATGTCCCCCTATACTCAATGTCCCCATAGTCCCCAATGTCCCCCTATACTCAATGTCCCCAATGTCCCCATAGTCCCCAATGTCCCCATGTCCCCAATGTCCCCCTATACTCAATGTCCCCATAGTCCCCAATGTCCCCATGTCCCCAATGTCCCCCTATACTCAATGTCCCCATAGTCCCCAATGTCCCCATGTCCCCAATGTCCCCCTATACTCAATGTCCCCAATGTCCCCATAGTCCCCACAGTCCCCAATGTCCCCCTATACTCAATGTCCCCAATGTCCCCAATGTCCCCCCAGTCCCCTGTGTCTCTGCAGCCCCCCCTGCTCCCCCCATCCCAAACGTCCCCACGGTGTCCCCGTGCCGGGGCTGAGGCGGTGGCGGGGCTGCTGCAGCAGAACGGAGCGGGACGGGAGCTGCGGGACCTCGACACGCGGGCACAGAGCTGCGGCCATGGGGGGACATGGGGCACTGTGGGACATGGGGCACCATGGGGCACTGGGGGACATGGGGGCACCATGGGGCACTGGGGGACATGGGGGCACTGTGGGACATGGGGGCACCATGGGGCACTGGGGGACATGGGGGCACTGTGGGACATGGGGCACCATGGGGCACTGTGGGACATGGGGGCACTGTGGGACATGGGGGC